GACTCTCTCACCTCTGAAGGATGAACCCCAACCCCGGCTGTTTCCTCTGGGAGCTTTTTCTTGACTGCCCAGCCCTCCAGCACCCTCCCCTCCCAAAGTCCCAGAGTCTGATTGTGCATAACCTGACCGATTTGGGGCTGTTCATCTAGCCTCCTCAGCTGAATGGGAAGATTTGGTGGGAAGCAGCTATGTTCTAAATAAAATAATGACAATAACAGTAGCAGCTACTGACCTACTCCGAGCATTCCCCGTGTGCTGGCCCACGCAACAACATCCTCTCACCTCCCCGGAATCTGGGTCCTCGCCAGAATCCTATGTGTAATATTCCCATTTTACCAGTGGGGAAATTGAGGCATAGTGAGAGTGAAGCTTGGCCTTCCCCCGTCCTCTACGATGACAATGCTAGTCGTTCTTGGAATCCTTTCTGGAATACGCCCCCATCCTACAGGCTGGAGGAGCAGCTGCTGCTCAAGGTCCCAGCACCATGACAAATACCTCAACCCCATCTTGCCCATTCCTACTCATCCTGCCTCCCCCACCTCTGTTTTCCTATCCTCAGGAGGTGTGCCATCCATGCACTGTGACCCCCGACCCTTCAAAAGGCATGACCCCCCACCCCACAGCTCCAGCATCAAAGGGGGGGCACGCAGCTCAGTCCTATGCTTCTCCTGCCTGAAATGGTTCCAGATGTGAGGCCTGCAGGGGTCTGCAGAAGACGTAAGGTGATGTTCGGCACATGGCTAGGTTTCTTCCTGGAGGCCCCCTGAGGGAGGCCCATCTACCTTCCACTCCTGGCAGCTGGCCAGAGAATGGGAGCAGAACATGGTTCCGGCAGTGGGTTTCCCAGGAGACTGGGGCAGGAGGGCCCCTGGAGGAGCCTGGGTATCTAGGGCAGGAGAGAAGCTGAACCCACTGTGAATTTGCATTTCACCCTCCACGGGGTGGGGACACACTGGTGGATCTAAGGCCATATCCACGACTGGGTTTTCCAGGTTGTGCAAGGAGTCCCATACTTAGTGGCTTAGATCCCTCACACTCCTCCTTAGATAAATTATATTATAGATGGGGAACTGAGTCAGGGGTCCCAAACTGGTTCCTGGCTGATGGTGCCTGTGTAGACCTCTTCCATGGGGGTCCCAAAACTCAGGGCTCCAAGCGTTCCTGTGGACACATGGGGGGTGGGTTGCTGAAAGTCTTTGTCGGTGGCTTGGGTAGAGAAGGGACTGCTAAGAAATAGTGTTGCTCTAGAGAGACACTCAGGGAGTCTTACCTCTGGGTGGGGATGAGGGTGGTGATGGTAAGGCAGAGTCCAGCCTGACTCTGGCAAATGCTCAGCTTCTACTTCCCAGCCCTCTCTGGTGCCCAGGAAAGTACCACCTGGGAGGGAAGCAGAGGTGGCTAGTACCCTCTGCCCCAACACCTCGGTCAGCTACTCTTAGCCTCAGAGCAGGTCAGGATATCCTGGCTCCCTGCTCCTTCCAATGAATAGGTATTTCTTCAGCGTCTACTTGCTAGGGTCACAGCAGCCCGGTATCTGGAGAGTGCTCAGGCAAATAGGGAGGCATACACATTCCCCCACACATACTCACACCAACTCCCCCAACCCCCACCCATTGGACCACTGAAGGCTGTAATGAGCTTGGCGACCTTTTGCATTAGACCAAGCCAGGTTCAGTCTGCCTCTACTGCTTGTGAGCTACGGGCACGTCAGTGAGCCTGAGTTTCCAAATCTGCAAAATGAGAATTCTAATAGTACATATTTCATAGAGTGTTGGCGAGGGTTTGGTGAGATAAACTTGGATATACGATTTAGCCCAGAGCCCAGCCCATGGTGACTGCTCATCACCATGCTGTTAGGGAGAAAGGGAGGAAGGAACTCCAGGTTGCTCCTCGGCCACATAGGGCAGCCCCTCCACGGCCTGGCTGGGGTCCAGCCTTTCTGCTTAGGGTTGGAGGTCATCGGTCTTGGCATGTCCTCAAACTGCTCAGACCCTCACTCTCCGGAACCTGTTCCCCGACCTGTCACAGCCTCTCCCCACTGGCCTGGGCTGTCTCTCGCTTTCTGCCTGCCCATAGTTCCAACCCCAAATACCCAGAGTTCTCCCCACACTAGAACATGCCCCTCTCCCATCACATCCCTCTCAGCTCATCAGGCCCATGCACACGACAGTTCCAGACATCCATGCACACACCTGGATGCGCACAGGCAAGGAGACATGCACAGAGGCTAAGTGGTGGTGTACAACCATATACACACTCATACTTGAGTGCACACAGGCAAGAGGACACCCACACCAACATCCACACACTCACAGGGACACACACAGAACAAGTAGGTATAAACAGGCATATACAGACACACTCAGTGACAAATATGTAAGGATGTACGAGCATATTGCACACACAAGAATCCACAGGCATATAAATGTGCTCACCCTGCCACAGGCATACATAGGACAGGTACAAACAGGCCCATAAAGACACATGCATTAGGACACACAAGCATGTTGCATAGTAAGGCACACGTACACACGTACACATACATAGGCACACACCAGCTCTCTCTCCCCGCCCCTCCAGGGGAGCTGGCTGCCTGCCAAGCACGGCACTTTCTGCTGGGTGTGCACAACCTTTCACAGGCTCTAATTGAGTCGAGGGTGATTTATAATGTGGCAGTGCCCCTGACTGAGTGGGCTGCCCCTTCCTGCTACAGCTCTGGTCAGGGCCTTTGGCCACCCCCCATCTTCTTCACACAGGGTCGCATACACAGGCCCCTTAGAGGGAGAAGGGGGCCTTCCTCTCCTTGCAACCAGCTCCTTTCTTTTTTCTTGCCTTTCTCCCAGGCCAGACACTGGCCTCTGGGAGGTTTTGACTCAACCCACCACCCCAGCACTCCCACCACCAAACCCAGCATACAGAGTCCAGCCACCAAGAGATGAATCGCAGTCTTTCTAACTGGCCAGTCTACGGACAGCTACAACCTTGACTGCAGATCCCATGTGTTTCCCGAGCTGCAGCAGGAGAAACTAGATTTAGACATGAAAGGGGACTTCCCCAGTGAGCTGGGGGTAGGGTGGGCTTTGGTCAGCAGGGTCTGGGAGAGCCTGGGCTCAGGGTGAAGGGAGAAAGGAAAGCCACTGAGAATCTCATTTCCTGTTACCTCATCCTTTTGGGTAACTGAGCTACTGTGACCTTCCCTTCCAGCTGTCCTCATGGCCTGTGTGGCTGGGCCTGTGATTAATTGCATTAATTAGGCCTTGAGGTTTGGCTCATAAAGTCCCCTTGTCCACCTAAGAAGGAACTGCAGAGAGGGCCCTTTTTCTGGTGTGCTGGGGGAAATATGCATTCTGACCCCTCACCTCTGAACCCAGCATGGACTGGCAGCTTCAGCACGGCCCATGAGCTCGGCCTGAGAGCTATTTCAGCCTCTCACAGCCTCCTGCTGATGGAGGCTGATGCTGTTCACCCATTTGACAGTGAAGGCAACCAAGGCTCAGAGAGGCCAAGTCCTGGCCCAAGTTATGTAGCTGGTTCATGGTGCAGCTGTGATTAGAAATCAGGCAGGAGAGCAAAGCATGACTGAGCCCATGCTGGAACCCCATCTGGGCCCCAAGACCTCTGGTGCTTAGGGTGTTCTTTTTGGAGCAAGAGAGGCTCCTCAGAAGGGCTAGCCCTCTTCATTCCCAGATTTGGGGTCAGCTTACAGCATGAGGGACTCAGATTAGACCAAAGTGGAACCTCCCTGGCAGTAAAGAAATTGGGAGGCAAGGGGTGTGTACATGTGTGTGGTGGGGAGATGTGCAGTGGAAAGTCTGGGCTGCCCCGAGGGAGTCCACTTGGTAATGGCAGCCAACACTGAGCACTTGCCTACTGCCTCACCCAACCCCATGGGACAGGAGCTAAACCCCATTTTAGAGACAAATAACACCATCTGCCCCTGCCTTGTAGATTCAAGGCAAATGCACCTCTACTCCTTGCCCCACTGCCATGCTTCCTCACCTCTGTGGCCCAGTGACCCCACTTCATCCCTGCTGGGGGTCAGCCCAGGTCTCGGTCATCCCAGACTCACTTGAACACACTTGCACGCATTGAGAGTGAGGGTGTGAAATGGACGGCCCTGTGGGCACGGGGTTTGTCCCGGATACTCTGTTAGCCACGGGATTTGTGCTGGGACGTGTTCGTCGCTGCGTGTGTTTCTGTGAGCCAGGCCTGTCTGTGTCTGTGTGTGTCTTTGGGATGCTGTACGGGTTTGTTCTCATCTTTGTCTATCTCTGCATGTTTGAATTTGTCTCTAGATCTCAATGTGTGTCAAGCTGTCAGTCTCTCTCTCTACGGCCTGTGCAATGTGTTTGTATGTCTCTGTCTCTGTGAGTTTCTCCCTATTTGTCTGTGTGTGTGTATTTTGTCTGTCTGTCTGTTCCAGCTACTGGGTGTTTCTCTATGCAGCGTCTCTGCAGGCCCTGCCGGGTGTATGTGTCCACGTGGCTCCATGTCTGTTTCTGCAAGTGACTTTAGGCATGACAGTGCATGTGGTAGTGTGTCCATGTGTCTCTGCGTGTGAGACTGTGTCTTGACTTTATGTGTATGAGACACAGTGTGTGCATGTCACCGAACAGGGCTGGGTGACTGTGTCTCAGAGCTGGGACTAGGGTGGGCACACAGTATCTTAGCAATCAGGAAAATTATTTTAGTGTAACATTTTTTCAAATATCACAATTAAGGCAAAGCACCCACAATGAAAAAGAACCATAAAAGTATTAAAGACAGGGTCGGTGTGTGTGCACGCCTGCGTGACGGTGTGTGCGGCTGTGACTGCGGGCCTGCCTCCCGCCCCCGCCAGGTGAGCCGGCGCCCCGAGTCACGCTGCGCTGGGCTGAGCCGCGGTAATTTCCGAGTCGGCGGCGGCTTTGTGTGCACCGGCCGCTGTCTTGGGGGCGGGGATGGAGGGAGGGTTATTTCTCCCCCCTCTTCCTTTTTATTGGGTCATTAACAGAGGCCTGGACTGCCGCTGCGCCCCCCACCCCCTTTCATGTCTGCCGCGCCTCCCGCCATTATCTCCCGCAGCCGCGCGGCGTAATTCGATGCCAATCAGGTTTGGGGCGCTGAGGCTGGCGGATCAAAGCCGGGCCGCGGCGCTGGAGCAAGTGGAGTGGGGGAGCAGACTGTGCTCCCCCGGGTCGGGGCACCCACCGTGTGTCCCGCGCAAGCGCCGGGGTCAGGCGGGGCAGGCCGCGCCCAGTCTGCGAGGGGCTCAGAGACCCGCGTGGGACGGGGCGGCCAGTGCCCGGACCGAGCAGCCGGCAGGGCACCGGGCAGCTCTTGCGCGGGAGGTCGGGGATGGTTTCCTGGAAGGCGAGGCCTTGAGGCGGGGCCTTGAAAGATTTCGGAAGCAAATGTGGAGCAAGCAGAGAAACCCTGGGCAGAATTCTATGCAGAGGGACCGGCTTGGGCAAAGGCCTGGGAGGCAGGAAGCAGCGGTGGTTAGGAGGAGAAGGGACCTCTTCTGGCTCGACTGCTGTGCCACCATCCGTGCGCGTGGAGCAGCAGAGGGTCCTCGAGAGGGGAGGGACAGAATCTCAGTTGGCCTTCTGATGATGTCCTCTGCCTGCTGGCAGCCCTGCTGTTTCCTCCTCTGGGAAATGGGGGAGCTGATAGCTGATAATCTCCACAAGAGATTTGTGAGATGGTGAACATGATAAAACAAGCGCTACTCTCATTTATTGAGCACTTATTATTTGCCAGGCCAGGCACCAGTCGTGTTTCATCCCCACAATGGCTCTACAAGGTTGGAACTCACTTTACAGATGAGAAACAGAGGCACAGAGAGGTAAAGTGATCTGTGCAAGGTCCCACAGCTGGCGAAGGGCATGGTTGGGCTTTGAACCAGACTTGTAGACCCGGAGTTCCCAGGAAGAGGGTCCTTCCCTGGGAGGGGGAGGGTCCCTGCCCCAGCTATCTGCTCTACTCCCACTGCACTGGGGCCTTGAGGGAGGGATGGGCCTCAAGGTTTTGGAGCTGCCTGTGTGGGAGGTGATGGTTCCACAGAGTGGGCTGGTGGGGAGTGGGACCAGAATCCTCCCCCCAAGCCTCACAGCTGCCTCCATTGCTTCCAGCCATTGGCTGTGGGCAAGTCACCTGCCACCTCCCCCAAGATGTCATCATCTGTAAAATGGGCTTAACAGGTTTCTTCTGCTTGCCCCTAAAGAGTCAGGGAATGAATGCAGCAAAGGACATTTTAAAGCTAAAATACAGTATGATGGGAATTTTTATTATCCGTATCAGCTAAAGACTTGGGGAGGGGGTGTGGGACCTGCCAGACACTCCCAGCAGAGGATGGAGAGCCCCCTTCTCCTCCAAAGAAAATGCCAGTGTTTAGTCCCAGTGATTCTGGAGAGTTGTTTCCCTACCCCCACTCCTGAGAGGGAGAGAAACAGATTTTCCTTCCCAAATAGTGCTGGGTCTTCACAACTCTAAATATCTCAGACCTGAGAATGTTCTGAGCAAACCGCAGTATACATAATACATGCTTTTGTTCTGAACTAAAAACAGGCCTTTGGACTGAGAAGGCGCCAGCAAGCAAGGGTCCCCACCTCTGGACCTCTGTCCTCTATCCTTCAACCCTCAGATCTGAGCTCTGGTAAGCAGGGGCTGAGGGCTGGAGGGAGTGGGGAGTGGAGGCCCCTGAGCCCTGGCACCTTCCTGAGCACCGCCTGCACTGAGGCGGGGTCTGCATTGGCACTGGGGAGAGAGAGGTAGGAGGCCCATAGAGAGTGCCCATTCTTGGGGGGGAGGCCGGTGAGGGCCCAGCTCCTGCACAAGAGGGCTCCGTGCTCACACGGGCCAGGCGCCTAGTGAGCCTGGGGGCACCCTCTCTTCCTGGGAGGACAAGTGAGTTAGACTGAGAAGAATGAATAGACGTTTACCAGATGAAGGCTGGGGACAGGAAGCACATTTCAGGAATGTGCAAAGCCTGGCAGCCTGAAAGAAGAGTGTACTGTGAGTGTTTCTAGAGGTGGGGAGGGTGAGCAGGGGGCTGGCGTGGGAAGGACAGAGCCTGAAGGAGCCTGGACGTAATCCTGAGAGGGCTGGGGACCAGAGAAGCTTCGGAGTAGAAAGTCACCCGAGCGCCGCCTTTTCATCTGTACTATGGGTGCAGACTTCACTCCCGCCCCCAGGCCTGGTGGAAGGTATAGGAGTCAGAGGAAGGGGGGGGCACTTGTGCCTTTGCACCCCCCTGCCACTCAGTCAGCCAAGGGGTGGGCAGAGGCTGGGGTGAGCAGACAGGCTGGGGGTTGGGGGGGCTCTGTCCCATTTTTCTCCATGCACAGGGAGACAGTCCAGGGATTTCAGCTTTCCCAGACCCGGTCTGGGCTGCCAGATGGAAGCAGCCATGATCAGCAGCCCCAGGTGAAGCGGGCATGTGGCTTTGGCAGTGCCCACCACTGGGGAAATGGGAACTCGGCTCTCCCTCTCAGGTCAGGAAAGCTGCTCGCCGCTGGAGGGCTCTGCAGGGCCCGGCTGCAGGCCTGACCAGGTCCTTTTTGCCATCTGTTGGCTACGTCTCCTGCCTACCTGAAGGAGGTCCGTGGCCCCCCATTCTCCATCCCTCCTGGGGAGTCCCTGCCTAGCTGGACCTGGGTGCCTGTGTGTGTTTGGGAAGGGGGTGATGGCTGCGACACACACCACAGATCCCAGCTGCCTCTGGACGCTGAAAAATCCAATTTTCTTCCTAATTGCCACCGCCCGCGCTCTCTCCCCTCGCAGCCTACTTCTGCTTGGCGGCGACTTGTCCCCCCACGCTCCCCCTGCCCCGGCCTCCTGCTGCCCACCCCACGGCGGATGCTGCCCCCCCTCGCGGTCACCCGTGTCGGGACGCACCATATATCATGTCCTCAGCTGGGAGGGGCTGGGGGAATGAACAGGCCCCCGCCCCCGGGCTCCCTGACGAAATCGTCCTTTTCCGCGGCGGATGACAGGTTGTGGGAACAACAGCTTGAATTACGGAAAGAAGTTTCCCCACTGAGTTAATCTGCAGTGGCTGGAGGTGACCTTCTGGAGACGGCGATTAATCACGGGCCGTGGCGGGCGCCGCGCCACGCCGGGCCCTTTGGGGGAATACTAATTCCACTACAAGATAAATCATAATTTGACAATAATCATCTGCCCTAATCACTCCAATTCTTCTGTTTAATTATTTGTATACACCGTGTTTCTTCCACGAGGACCCTGTGTGCCCATGGGTGGGGAGGGGCTAGCCACTTGGGCACAGACCCCTCTTTGGCCCCACAGCTTTGACCCTGTCAGTATGCCAGGGGAGGCCTGACTCTGAACTGCTAGGGAGAATGCTGGAGCTCAGAGCTGTGATAGTGTGACTGGGGAAACTGAGGCTCTGAGAGGCCAGGCCTTGGATGAGGCCAGCAAGCTTGGGGTGAGCCAGACCGAAGACTAAGGCCCGTGAGGTTCAGTCCTAGGCTGTACCCCAGTGCACTGCCCTGCTGAAGACCTGGCTCAGAGTGCCTCCCTTTCACCGCTCAGCTCCCTGACCTTTGTCCCCAGTCTCCATGATGCCTGGTCCCACCCTCCATCTGCCAGCATGGACGGGGCTTATGGCAGCTTCCATCCCCTTACCCAAGCCCTGGGCCTGGCCGTCTACTCAGGGTATGAGGATCAGGGTTGTGGGCATCTGAGCAGGCATTGCCTGCCTCCATCTAGTAGGTGCTGTGTGACTGTGCCCTTTACCTGTAAACTGGGTGGAGATCCCCTCCCCCAGGGTGTGGAGACCTGGCCCAGTGCCAGATCCACAAGGGTGCTCATACATGCCACCCACTGCCCCTTCCTGTAGTGTCAGGGCACAGCCCCTACAGCCATGCATCTCCCACCTGCAGCCCCCTCCCAAATCTGGCTCCTGTAACCACCATGCTCAGCCCCTGAACTGGGCTGCCAGGAGAGTCGCAGGGACCTGGCACTGCCCCTGGCAGCTCCCTTAGAGGCCTGGCTGAGCTGTTGCCACCGGCTCTGGCTCCCTGAAGCGGAAATCAGAATGACTCAGTGTCTTTCTTTGTCAGGCCAGCTCCTGGCCTGCCACGGTGGTGGGTGGTGCTGAGAGGGGGCACAGTGGGGGCGATTGGACCCAGCGTGGCCCCCCGGATGAGGCTCATGTAGGGACTGCAGTGTCGCCTTTGTGGCAATGTGAGGGGAACGGCTTCCTCAAACAAGGGCAGGAGGCCTAGCTGGTTGTGTGCGGATGGGTCACACCCACAGAGAATGATACACTGGTGATAATGAAGAGGTGACCACAGGGAGTGTTCGCTCTTGACTGCAGCCTGCCCGGGATCTCCTGGTCCCAAGGATGGTCAATGGTAGGCTGACGGTGAAACATAGCGTTTGTCCTCAGGATGCCCCAGTCTCAGGGAAGACATGCGGCCCCTTTGCTTGGATCTGAGAGAGAAGAAAGCAGCAGGGGGAAAAACACAAATCACAGTATTATCCGCCAGCGTTTGGAGCTCCCACCACATGCCAGGCCCTGTGCTCAGAACTCTGCCTGTTTCATGGCTCTGAGTAGTCATGACTGCACGTGATGTCAGCCCATTTTACAGATGGGGAAACCAAGTCCCCAAGAGGCAAAATCACTTGCTCTATGTCATCAAGCTTGGGAATACACGGTTAGTTAGGATTTGAACTCAGCTTCCTTCTCTATTCCCTCTGTCTCCCAGAAATCTAGACAAAGCCACTTCATCAGTATTGCAGAATTTCTGGTCAGAGGATCTGAAGAAAGCTGAGACTGTCCCTTTACCTTTCGGGGTTCAGCCCTGCCAGCTGTGAAAAGGGGCCTGGGGCAGTTGTGAGACCAGGGATGTGAAAGGGCTGCTGGCCCCTGTCCCGACTCTCCATTCCTGTGTAAGTCTCTGTGGGTTCTAACTTCCTTCCCCTCTGCTGTGGCTTCCTCCCTCATCCAGGGTGGGCACAGGCTCCCCTTCTTCTCTGTCTTTGCCCAGATCTGTGCCCTTGAAGCCCAGCCCCTCAGTGATCCCTGCCTGGAGGAGGGGATGTGTGTGGGACAGGCAGTGTCCTGTGGCCCAGTGGCCTCTATCTGATGCTGTTCCCTGGCAGCCCCTGGGCAGCTCAGCTGTGGCCGTGACTGCTGGGACACTGCTGGCTTTGGCCATGTGTTTGGTCAGGCACCCGCTAGCCAGCCTGCAGTCCCCCCGACCCAGCCTACCTTTTTGGGCCAGTATCCTCACACACCAGGCAAGGCTCTGGAAGGTGGCTGTGCAGGAGCACCCCGTCCCAGCTATACAGACGTGGTGGGGGGTCATTTGGCCTTTCTGAGCCTCAGTTTCCATCTCGGCAAACTGGAGGTAGTAATAAAACCGAGCCCACAGTAAGCACTCCACGCTCAGTTGTACCTATTTTTAGTACAAGTATCAGGCTGCATGGCAAGATCGCAGAGGGGTCAGCCACTTGTCACACTCCCCTGGACAGGCCCCTCAGTGGCATTTTTGGGGTGTTGAGGGAAGAAGCATTCCCCTTGGGGAGTGCTCCACTTGGGGAGGCGGCTAGGTTGGGGCTTCCTCCGTCCCCTGCCCCCGCCTGCCTCTCTTCCCCTGAGTGGGGGACAAACAGTGGGGAGGTGGCAGAGCAGCAGCAGAGGAGAGGGGAGGCCAAGGTTGGCCACGTAGGGGGGAGACAGCCTGGGGGGAGAGCGGTGGAGTTGCTGGGGAGGGAGGCTGGGGCACTATAAATACCTCCCAGGTAACAGGGCCCATAAATGAAGGGAGGGAATTAGTCACATTCTGTGGCGCCTCAGAGAGAGGACAGGGAGCAATGACCTGAATCCATGGAAGGGAAAAAATTAGGCTAACCTTGGAGGGGGTGGTTAAGGCTGGATGCTGGGCCTCCTCAGAGGGGTGCCTGGGACACAGTCTGCTGGACAGGGGCCAGCAGGAACAACAGCGGCAGGAGGGCTCTGGGAGGGCCAGCTTGCCTACTCCATGCCCAGATGTGTGAGGGGCTCTTTTCTTTTTTCAAGGAGTCCTGGCCTCTCTCAGAAGCTCAAACCCATTCTTCTTGGAAGTCCTTCTAGGGGTCTAGCCCTGGCCTTTCCTCATGTCACTCTGAAGCGTGTCCCCATTTGTTGCTCTCCCTAGGGACCCCCTTCTCATGCCTCTAGCACTGGCATCATTTCCTGGGTTCCTGGCTCAGGCAGAAGAATCCTTGCTTGGGGAGGCAAGAAGGATGTGTTTTGCTTCTTCTGTGGAACCCACTGCCAGGGCCGGATCACTCGCTCCACACTGGGACGATGACCATGCCTGTTCTCTAGTCTCCCAGGCCCAGCTTCACGGCTCTCTGGGCCACCCTCCCTCCCTGTGGTCAGCGCTTGCTCCCACCTCCCTATTCCACTAGGGATGGAGTCCTGGTCCCTTGGCTTGCATACTTAGCCTGCTGGGTCTGCCTCCAAGCATCTCTCCAGCCACATTTTCAGCCCTTGCTCTCCTCCACACCCAGCCTGCCATTGTAAATTCTCCAGGTCTTTGCATGGGCTGTCGTTTTGGTCAAGGATGCCCCACCTTGCTCTGCCTGGCAGATCTGCATTTTCTCCCACGCGCGAAGCCCCAGCCTGAAGTTCTCCATGCCATCTCCCCGGATGAGTTCGGTCCTCCATCATCTATGTTCTGGAAACACTTCTGGCAGGGGTAGGATGGGGAGGTTGTTAAGACCCACGTTAGAAGGCCAGCTCTGTGTCATACTATGCAGTCTGGCTGAATAAATGAGCTCTCCTGTGCCTCAGCTTCCCCATCTGTAAAAAGGAGTTCTCACAGTGTTTTCCAAGGGTGCTACAGTTTATGTGAGACCCTGGAGGGGGAGGGCTAACACATAGTCAATGGGGAGCTGTTGTTGGGGTCACAGCCTTGATCTCACTGTTTCTGTGTCTGCCTCCTTTGTGGGCGATGAGATGGGTGTGTGTGTGTGTGTGTGTGTGTGTGTGTGTGTGTGTGGTATTTCTGTGTCTGCCTCCTTTGTGGGCGATGAGATGGGTGTGTGTGTGTGTGTGTGTGTGTGTGTGTGTGTGTGTGTGTGTGTGTGGTGCTGCGTCCCCGTGTGACTTGTCGCTGCAGCCGCAGTGGCCATCTCGCGCCTGGCACTGAGACGGTCGGCAAATGTTTGCTGAATTAATGAGTGGGGGCTGCAGGGCTGGCTTGGGCTGCTGTTCTGCTTAGGCTGCTGCAGCTGGGGTGCCCATGTACACGTGTGTGCGGTGGGAACGTGAGTGAGGGGTGTCTGTGGGTGGGGGAGCCGTATCCGTGTCCCGGGGGTCTGGCGGCGCCGTGGACAGCCTGGCGCGCCCGCTCCCTGGGGTCCCCGCCCAGCGCCTGCCTGGCTGCGGGACCCCGTTGCCAGGAGCAGTCAGGATGCGGCAGCGTCTCCATGGCAACGCGGCATCTCGAGCAGCGCGCCGCCCTCCCCCGGCGCCCTGCTGTGGGCAGGAGGCCGAGCCTGGCAGCCCCTCCAGGCCCAGCAGCCAGCAAGCCGGGCCAGGAGGCCGGAGCCTGGTGAGAGGGGCTGAGGAGGGGGCTCCTTTTTTTCTAGGGATGAGGGGCTGACGTGTCTTTCTCTCTCCATCTGGGGAAGGTAGACAATATAGGGGCTCTTAGCTCTGCCCATGTGCAGCGCTTCTTCCCACTTCTGACTAGAAAATCAAGAACGGGTCTGGATCAGGTTAGGAGACCCTCACTGGCCGAGAACATCTCTCACCTAAGTTCTGGCCATGAAAATGCACCGTGATCCAGGCCTGAGGGGCTGCTGAGCGGGGTGCACTGACGCCCTGGTCTAGGCTATGAGGACAAGCCCAGTCGCTCCCAGCGCCCACCCAGCGTCTGTACTCTCACGAGTCACGCCATGCCCGAGTACCTGCCAAGAGCTGTCCCAGTGCCCCTTTACCCTTTCAGTCACGCCACATCTTGGAAACACACTCAGTGCTGCCCACGGTGCTCGGTGACCCCACCTCGCCCCCCGAGTTCCCATCCAGTGCCTCTGGTACTTACCTAATATCTTACCAGTGCCTCCCAATACTTCCAAGTACCCACCCGGTGTCTCCAGTTGTTATCCATTATGCCCCTAATCTTACTCAGTATTTTCATATTTTCAACACTCTCCCCTTCCCTCCACGACCAGCCAGTAACCATCTGGTTCAGGCGTGGTGCCCCTCAATATCCCCCAGGGACGACTCACTGCCCCCAGTAACTGCCTAGTGGCCATTCGTGCCCTCCTCTTATCCACCCGGTACCCCGCACAGTGTTGTTCCCAGTACTCCGGCTCACCAAGTGCACTAGCACAACCTTGTTCTGCCCAGTGTATTCCCACTACGCATCCCTGCCCACCGCCCAGCCGAACTTCCGCGAGACGGCATGGCCAGGAGGGGGCGCGCGAGGGAGCAACAGAAGACCAAAGCGCGGGGCGCGGCCCGGGTGGAGGTCCAGGGGCTTTATCTGAGCCCCCTGTCTTACTTAGGTGAGCCCGTGCCCAAGGTGGGGCTGCATTTCGGGGGAGTCCCGCCGGGAGTGACCGGTCACCCGCACTCCTCATCCTCTGTTAGCCCAGAAGCGCTGCCACCGCTTCCGTCGTGGCTCCGGCTCTGAGGGGGGCGCGCGCCCTCTGGTGGCGACAGCCCAGCGCAGCGCCCTGGGCTGTCGCTCGGGGACCGGCGGTGCGTTCCTTCCCTCTGTCGCAGCGTCTTAGTTTATTGGGTCCGCCCTGGAGCTGGCACGCGGGGGGTGGCAGGAGGAGCGTTGGGGTTGTCTCAGATCCAGTCCCCTCTCTGGGGCAAGACAGACTGAAGCCTGGGATTAAGGAAGAGCATTGGCTATGGAGCTCGGGATTGAGGGCCCCTGTGGAGGGACTGTGGGTGCAGAACGGTGGTGGTGGTGGTGGTGGTGGTGGTGAGCAGCTCCGAGTCTGCCAAGAAATGAATTTCAACTCAAGGATTCAGCCATAGGAGCTTTTATTCGGATGTGCTGCCTCTAGAAGGGTGGTGGGAGGGTAAGGCATCTCCATTCTAGGCCTGGCAGCTCCTGCCTGGCCCTAAATCCTTAGCAATGGGATGCCCACCCGTCTACCAACTCCTGAATAACCCCATTACTCTCTGCTTACCTGCCAGTGCTCAGTCCTCCGCCCACCTGCGGGGACCTGTTTCCCAATCTTCAGCGGTCCTGGAGGGGTGGGGGGCACCCTCTCCCCCTCCCACAATGCCAGGGTTCTTCTCCTCTGTGTTAATGGGGAAATAAATGGAGCTGCAGTGGGAGGGATCAGGTCAGACTTCCCGCAGTCTGTTCTGGATTTGGGTGCCCTGGACCTTTAAGACCATCAGATTTGATCTGTGATTTTGTGCCCATCTCTGGTCTGGCATCAGGACGGCACTCAGCAAGCCTCTGCTCAATGCATTAGTGAGTGAGTTCCCTTAGGTATGGGTCCTCAGAGATGCCTCCTCCATCCTTCTCAGTGCATTAATGGGGAAACTGAGGCACCCAGCAGGTGAAGAATTATTCCAGGACCACCGAGAGTGGGTGGGTGGGCAGCAGAACAGTGAAGTGGCGAAGAACACTGGGCTGGTTTGTGCCTGAGCTCAGTTCTGATACTTGCTGGAGGAGCTTGGACTAGTCGCTTCCTTTGTCTAAGCCTCAGTTTCCTCATTTATAGCTTGAGCATAAAAACTCTACAGGATAGTTGTGATAGGGTTAAATCTGATGGCGATGTTAGGGAGAACAATAATGACCCCAAGCACTGTTAGCTGAGGGCCCACTTTGTGCTAGGCCCTGTGTAAAGTACCTCAGCACATGAGATGCAAGAAGACATTATGCTAGGTGACAACGGGTCTGGCCCTTCCTGAAGAGGCTCTCGGTCCTGACCAGCTCCCAGCAGAGTGACAAAGCCCCTACCAGGCCTGGTGCCCGACTGCAGGCCTCTGGGATGAGCTCCAGTGCTCTCTGCTTGCGCTGGGCCTGGAGGCAGAGGGAGGGAGCAGATGACCTTGGGCTGTCCTATGTGCAGTACTCCCATGTTCCCTAGGCCTGCATCAGATTTCCGGCCCTCCAGGAGGGCAGGGGGAGCTAGCTGATGGAGGAAGCATGTGTCCTGGCCTGGGCAGCTGGGCCTGGGGCCTTGCCCTGGAACATGGGGCCTTTCCTGCAGAGGGACTCTCCAGAGCAGGAAGGAAGGAAGTGGGGAGGGGGAGGAAGGTGGGGGAGGGAGGAAGGATGGGACAAGCCTCGGCTGGGAGTGAGTTCTCTCTGGGACTGGCCAGGAAAAGAGGACATCTGGATTGGCCTGGCCGAGAGGCTGTTGGTCTGGTCACCCTGGCTAGGGCTTGGATGAGTGTGTGGTGGAGGGCAAGGAAAGAGAACAAGTCCCACCCTCATCTGTGTAACAGGTACAAGAACACCACCTTCCTGGGCTGGATGGGAGTAAAAAATGAGGTCAGGAACATAAAGTTACCATCTGGGCCTGGACCAGCAGGCAGGTCATGTCTGTCAGCCCTTCCTCCCTGGCCTGGCTGCCCCATCTGTGAGGCAACAGGTAGCTCAGAGGCCAGGGCGCCCATGCCTGTGAACCCATGCATTCATTCAACAACCACTGTTGGGCACCTACTATGCGTTGCGGTGTGGGCTGTTAACCTGAACAGGAGCCAGTCCCTGTCCTTGCAGGGCCTGTCTGTGGTGAGGGAGGAGGAGGAGTCGCCAGGCAGGGATAGGGGGAGCACAGAGCCTGTAACAGTCCGGGGGGGCATCCGACCCAGCCTGGGAAGTGAGGGAAGGCTTCTCAGAGGAGGTGATAATCCTGTTAGGACACAAAAGATGAGTATGCATTAGCCAGAAGAAGGGACCTGGTGGGGAAGAGGGTTCCAAGTGGAGAGAAGGGCTGTTTGCGGCCCAGAGTTGAGGGGGAGTAGGGCTGTGGAGGCAGCAGAATGTGTGGCGATCAACAGCAGTAGGAGGGAGGCAGGGCGCTGGTGCTGGGGGTAGGGCTGTGGATGCTATCCTGGGGGTACTGGGGAGCCACAGAAGGTTCTAGGCAGAGGTAGCAAGGCCAGAGTGGACTAAAACCCAATAAAGAGCACACTCAGGGCCTCCATGATGTGACCTGCCATGTCCATACCCTTGTCTCTTATGGCTCCTCCATGGGGAGCAGCCAGGCTGGAGTATCACAGCCCCCCAACTCCTCAGGTTTTCCCACCCTCTTTCTTTGCCAAGGCTCCTCCCATACCTGACTATTATTTCTCTGGATAAGCCAGCATCTGACTCTGACCATGAAGACACAGGACAGGGAAAGACAGAGCGACCCACAGTCCCTTTTCCCGTCGGCCCCTCCTTACTCAGCTGAAGGTGGAGAGTGTCGGGGACTGTGCGGGAATCAAGTGAAACAAAGACAGTTGGTTAGTTTGTGCAGTGTTTCCACTGTTTATGTAAGAATGAAATACACGAGCACGCACAAGCTGCGAAATACAAATTGTGTAACTTCAGTGATTCTGCAGACACGTGAAAAGCCCTTACATTTGTATTGAAAGCTAGCACTGTACAACATAAGGGCAAATGGTAAAATTCATGCTAGTCACTTAAAATTTTAATTTGTCTTTACTTAGAATGACATTAAGTAGCAAACAGAAAAACGTCTTGAGAAGTCAAGAAATAGACCACATAGGAAAGGAGAAAGCTTTATATATATTTAGTTCTTTATTTGACTGCATACTTTTCCCTTGGTTTTGGGTAAGGGGCTCTGCATTTTTATTTGGTGCTGGGTCCTGCCATGTAACCATGGCAGGGTGGAAGCCCCCCCTGTGTTTATTTTTTTTTGGGGGAGCTGTGAGGTCAGGGAGGGGGCTGTTCTGCCCCGGGGCCTTCCCTCTCTGGTGCAGCCAGGGTGGTGGTGGAGGCTCTTGATTCCCTGAGCCTAGGAGTGCAGCAGGAAATGGAACTATAACATACTGCCAGCTGATAGAAGACCTGCACCCTCTGTGGGGTCCAGCCCCCTTCTGGTGCACCACAGTCCAGGGTTTGGGACATCTAGGGGAAGCCAGCCCTCTGGCCAGAAGATAAAGCTGTTCCTGGCCTCAGAGGGCACCTGCAATGACTTACCAGGCTGCCACCCAGCCTGCAAGCCCCATGGATTTCCTGGTTCCCTCCCTTTAAGGTGGGACTCCCCAGAGGCAGGGCCTGCAGACCCGCCTCAGAAACAGGCTGTTGTGAGGGAGTGGACTTCCTGTCTCCTCTCCTGGTATCTGTTCCCGCTGGGTGAGGGAGCAGGTGTGGCCTCTCTCCTTGGCTTACTTTTGGGGGGCAGTGAAGAGAGGAATGGAAACAACTTGGCAGCGATCAGCCAGGGACCTGGCCGTCTTGAGGCAAAGAGAGTGAGGTGGGAGGGCAGCTAGGTGGGAGGAAAGAGCCTCCTCGGACTGGGTCCCTGAGGTGGGTGAAAGGAGCAGGCACCCTGGGGGGTTAGGACTCCCTTCCCCACTCTTTGCCTTGGCTCAAGTCCCAGACCTACCAACTGGCCCACACTCTCTGACCCTATTTCCTCCTTTATACCAAGGGATCATGATTGTACCTGCCTGAAGGACTGTTATGAACAGTCTGTGAGCTAATCCACAAAAAGCATTTAGTGCAGAGCTGGGCACTTAGAGGTTGCCATTCACAGAAACTCATCTGCTGTGGAAGAGGAGGTAGGTGAGTTGGTGGGGCCTCCCTCCTCTGCCACCATGAATGCCCACCATCCCATTTACTTTCCCCCTCCCTGGTTCTCCTCCTTTCCTTTCTTCCCTGCTTCTCTCTTTCCACACTCTGCTGTTCCTCTAGCAAACCAGGCTTCTGCTCACCACAGGGCCTTTGCACTTGCTGCTCCCTCTGTCTGCAGCTTTGGCATCCCAGATGCTTGATGACTGACTATTGTTTCTTGGGTCTCAGCATAAATGTCACCCCCTCTGGGATGGTGTGCCTGACTACCCCAGCTGCTGTCTCCCTGGTGAAGTCACTCTTACATTTCACTGTTCTAATTTTCTCCATAGGTGATAACTTTGCTTCCTTGTTTGTTCAATGTCTTTCTCCCCTCTCCTCAGGCTGAGAGCTTCA